CCATTGTGCCCCTGAATGCCTCTGGGCTTGCAGAGATGGGACTGTGACATGTTCCTGTGATAGTCCTGAAAGCAACCAGGGCAGGGTATTACCTGGGCTCCTCCATCCACCATTGTCTTTCTGTGCTCCTCTGTGGATGTGCAGATTAGTTGTCTTTTTATCAGATAACCTAACAACTTCAAGCTATGCTACCTGGTTTGTAGGAGGAAAATGTCTGAGTATGAGCTGACTGTGGGAGCTTACAGCACAGTCCATGGGCCAAGCTGAGAGCCTTTGCTGATAATCATGGGATCCATGACTGTAAGAGCGCTTGTGAGACAAGTGTGTAAGTTCATGCCTCTCTTTGCCAGTGAGTATTGAGCTGTACCAGCTGGCAAGTAAAAGACCCATATACTGGGCAACACAGCTCAGGATCAGGGCATGAACTGGAGAGGGGCTGGGGGCCAGTGCCCAAGGCATTCAAGGCATCTGCAAATGTGCATGTGCTCACGAATCTAGAGGGTGAAGGGGGTGTTTTTCACTAGTGAACTTAACTCAAATCACCCACAGAGCAACAGGACAGGGCTATTTATACTTACTTTTTTTTTTGAGTTTTGGTAGCGTTGTATGTGAGTGTTGTTACAGGCAGCACTCTGCCTGTTGCAGTCTGTAGCTGGATGTGTCAGCATGTGTGCACATATTTCCCACGTGCCCACACCCCCCTCTCTCTGGTACACACACTCAGCTTCACTAGTGGCTGAACCTGCACATGGGAAAGCAGCAGCCACCTCTGTAGGTTCCAGTGGCCTGGAATGAGGAACACCCAGACCCCAGAGGATGCCAAAGGCAGTGTCTTATAACATCCCTTAACATCATACTCTACAGTTTTGTTGACCCCTTCAAAAAACTGTAACACAGGATTCTCATTTATAGAAGCCCTACCGATTCTTCCAAATAGATTTTTTTATTCAGTTGTTCATTAATTCTTTTTTTGCCACCATGTCTACCAATACGCCTGGTAAAGACCTCACACTGAAGTTTCCCAGCTTTCTCCCAGTTCCTTCCTTTATGTTTGGCTTACTGCCCAGTACTCAGGTGTTAAGAAAGATTTCAGCGTGAGGTCACAAACTACTGTTGGCAGTTCAGATTTTTCATCCTTGCATTAAAGTTACTTTAATTTCAGAAATCTTACAGCAGATTACAGCAAGATGAGTCAAAAGGAGCGTATTTCAGATCACATTTAGGACTAAAGGGGGTTGTTGCCTAGGGAACTGCGACACATGACAGGATGCAGGGGAAGAGCATTTTACTTTGCTCAGGAGGAGGAACAAGTTTGGGAAAATGGAGGGTAAGGGGATAAAAGGGCCAGTTGCACGTAAATAGTTTGCTGATCAGTATACTTGTCTGGCCATGCCCTGTGTCTGTCCTGTCTTCTTTAGAGTCACTTCTAACTCTTTGATAGGTGAAGGCTCTCTACTCTGTGTGCACGTGTATACGTGGGTCTGAGTGCAGCAACTGGAGTCAGGACCACAGGTCACAGAGGCGTGTATGCTCGTGGTGCCAGCAATTGGAGCAAGTACAGGCATGCACGTGACTGCATCATTGCTAGTGAAGATTTGTCCAGACCAGTTAGCGAGTAGATGAAGCAACCTGAGAGCTGGGGCGAGCGGTTCTCTAAGGGCCAGATCTGGGTGTGACAGTGCCCTTGTGTCTCTAAGGGCAAGACCACAGCAGGGTCAGCTATTGGGACACCTAAGTTCTGGCCAGTTTTATGTGTGTGTGTGCGCGTGTGTGTCTGTGTGTGCATACACCGTGGTCTGTCTGTAGCCTCAAGGACTACAGGTGCCAGCAGCTGGGGTGACTGGCATCCAAGGGGAGCTCTTGAGCACACTGAGTCCAGCCACTGGAGGAAGTCACCTTGTACATAAGTATTAGTGGACTCTCATTTTGTTCAGCCAAAGAGGGTAGCAGACTGAGGCCATTGGTGCTGCTTGTGTTCATGTGAGTGCTCTGAACATCTCTGCGATCTGTGTGACCAGCTGTGTACATATGTATATTTGTGGTGTACATGTGTGTGCCTACCGGGAATGTATCTTCATCCTCACCACTGGTTGTACCTGAAGAGGACACTGAGCTGCAACAGCCTTGCCTCTCTTGAGCTATTGGATCTAGCACGATACATTTCCTTTAACATCCTTGACTTCCTTCGCCATGAGAACTGCACATTTTGAGCACCTCATATACCCATATTTATCCAAGCTTATCAGTAGTTTCATTGTTTTCCTCAAAAGCTTTTTACAAGTCAGTATTACAACAGTAATCTTCCATCCTCCTGAAATCAAGTGATGCTAAGTGACAGGCTGCATATCCCTGGTGGTTATTCAGTTATTTTATTCTTAAATCCCTTTAGAACTCTTGGGTAACTTCCTCAGAATCTGGTAGTGTGTCACTGCTCATTTTACGCATCTGTTCTACAATTCCCTTAACTCACACTTCAGTCTGAGATAGATTAAAGCAGGGTTCTAACACCAGAACCTCCCCAAACTCCTTTACTATAACAAAATCTAACGCAATTTGTTTGTTTGTTTGTTTATTTGTTTGGTTTTGTGGAGGTAGTACAGTCTTTTGCTATGACTTTTTCTCTGAGCACTTCTTTTATATCTTGATTGAACAGTGATTCTGTAAAATTCTTGAAAGATTTCCCAATCTGAAGTGTTTAAATAAAGGTCCAAAACTAATTTTTTGCTTCTAAGAACTGTTCAAGTCATTCCAGATGTAGATTGCCATGGTTTCTCTATACCTTGTAATACCACTGCACCTTTATTAAGGCTCATGAGCCAAATTTGAAATCTCAAATGATTTGACTTCTTTCTTTCAAATATTTACTGATGTTTGCCCTAATAACATTCTACAAGAAGTTCAGGAGTGTCTGGCTCCAATGCCCATTCAGACTCTGCAGATTATATAAAGGCTGAATGTCAGAACTGTTTTGTTAAGCTTATTAAGGACCAGATTCCTGCAACAACAATCAATCAATAGGATATTTATACTTCAGATTACTACAAATAAAATCCAATGTGATTTCAAATACAAAGATAAACAGTTCTACTATAATGAATATCTATTTTTCTAACACATAAAAGTTTGTAAGCAACCGTAATTCTATGCTGGAAACTGTTACACTCTCAACATTTAAAATCTATTGTCTAAAGTTAGACAGATTCATATTTTAACTCCTGAAGAGGAACAGGCCCATTTTCAGAGCTTTTGAATGCACCTATCCAAGAGCTGAATTTAGCCCAGCGTATTCAGTATTGTTCATTGATATAGGGGAGGAAGTAAAGACCAAAGAGATGAGTCTGTAAATGTACCTCACTGTATGGAAAACCATGCTGCCAGAGGTCAATGTTCACAAAGGAGACAGAGGAGTCCTGTAAAAATCAACTTTCTTTGAATAAAGGGGGAGTCCACTGGGCATATCCCTGTGGGTGTCTCTCAAAATTGCTGAAGGATGCAGCCCCTTTTTATCTTAATTTCCCGACCGCATATGACCTTCCTCCTTTCTCCATTGGCTGAGGTACTAGGAAGGCACAGACTTCCTGATCCGCCTATTACATATTCCTCCTTAACTCCTCCTGCAACATACATTGCATGTATCTCAAACTTTATGCTGCCCAGGGTGGAGAAGTTAATATTCCTAAGCCTATTAATTCTGCGCACTCTTTCTTAAAGTTCAAAAGTTCAGACTATACTTGGTTTTGAAACAAACTTTTGTTTTGGTCAAGTTATCCATTTTTCCAGAACCTGACTGGTTCTTTCAGGTTATCTAGCAACTGACACTCATTGTGTGCTTCTGACAGATGTTCTTCTGTTCAAAGACAAATTGCAGATTAAGGCATGACCAAAATTTCTGAGAAAGTAAAGTTGTAGGCACCCATATTACAACAAACTTTTTATTTGTAAAGACATATATGTCTATATTTCTATCATCAGTTACTTAAAAAATCAAATAGTCAATAGTGGAAGAAGGTGGTAGTGAAGCACACTGCACTTCCAGATCAGGCAGCATGAAAGATGAAATTCACTTCTCTACAGACAGATTGTGATTGTCTCTGAATGCAAAGAGTCACCTGAGGAAAGAGAAGATGGAGTTAGCATGGGCTGTGTGCTTTTCGAAGCACACTTTGTGCTGTTGCTCATTACACAAGCCATGCTTAAAATAGTGAAATGACCTTACCGATTATATCAAAAAGGAGATGGGAAGTAGCAAGATAATATTTTGCCACCATGTGCTATATGCTTCAGTGGGATATTGGAATATACTTAACATGACTTCTAAATATCACGAAAGGAGACAGAAAGAGACTTATAGATTATTTGACTGATGTGTGTAACATAATTTAAAAAAAAAAAAAGGATTATACAAAAAAGGAAAAAATAGTGATTGTTTCTTTGCTTCAGATTGTAGCATAAGAAAAATTTTAAAAATAATGTCAGTGTATTTAGAAAGAATGGTTCGTAACTGCATGATTTTTCTAGCTACGAAGAACGGTAATTTGTTACCCCAACTGATTACTTTTCTGGAGGAATATTTTGGGTTTTTTTTAAATTTACATACCCTTCGCAGGCTCCGGCAGGGAAGCCGTGCTCCCGAGCAAACATGCTGGAATGCTCCGCTGAGTCACCTCCCGGGGTCCCTTCTCTGGAGCCTCCTCTCCTCCTGCTTCGCCATGGAGAAGGGCACAACAGGCTTCCCCCCGGCTCCCTGCAAAGCCCCGGCCCCCACCCCTCCTCCTCCTCCCCCCAAGCCGGGCTTCAAAGCAGAGACAGCAAAGAGCACCTCACAGCTGGGACCGGGCCCCAGACACGCCGGGGCGGGAGGCAGCACAAGGAGAGGCGGAGCCAGACGTGACGAGCGGGGCCTACGGCCTCGGGTGAGGTGCTGCTGCCGCTGGGGTGCGCTGGGTAGAAGCGGCGGCGGCGGGACGGATCGGAACGCGCCGGGAGAGTACGGGGCCAGCATGGCGTGGACGGTCGTAGAGCTCTTTTACGATGTGGTGTCCCCTTACTCCTGGTTGGGGTTTGAGGTGAGGCGGGGCGGAGGCGGA